CCGCGGACATTCCTCCACGATCTGCTTTAGAAACGTGTACACTGTTTACGAGATTCGATACAGTGTTTCGAGCACGCAAATGCTTCCCAACCGTCGTTGCGGTTAATTGCACCTGTCAGCCAGACATAATCGATCCCGCGCGAAGAGAGGAACTGCGAACGGGTGGAAGGAACCGGGTGAAGCATTGGCCACGCGTGATAAATGATGGACCAAGTCGTCGATTCTGCGCGTAGACAATGGGAAACCGTCAGATGCGTAATCTGGGGATACGAATTAATCTTCGAGTCGAATTCGAGAGAAATTTGATTAGAAGTCTGTTTAATTTTGAAAAAGAAAATCTTATTTACGATCGATATTATACGAATCTCCTCGTTCCAGTAAGCGAATAATATAAATAAGAGGCGTCGCTCGTTTCGAGACGCGAAAATTCGAGGGAAAGGATTGTTTCTCGTTATTTCTTTCTCGTTGAAAGAACGTTACGTTAAACTTGCAGACCAGTCGACGACCGATTTCTGTACATCTGAATCCGCGAGGAAAAAAGGAGAGGGAATATCGAAGCAGAATTTCCAAACTGTACAGGTTTGTTCAACGTGTTCCAAGTTTTTCCTTTTCAAGTTTCCGCGCGCGGTCAATATATCGAGCCCGTATGTATACGTATATTTTTCAACGGATCGGCGAAAATAACGGCGGGAAATACCGGGGATAAAAATTGCGAAGTTTGCCGTTTCACTCGTATCGGCGGATTCGCGAATTCGTCGGCATCCCTCGGCCGTCCACCTCGCCCGTACAAAAGCGTAATCGGGCAGAAAATATCGGAGAAGTTTGGGATATATAGGGGAGGTTACCGATGTATTCGAAAACTTTATACTCCACTTTTACACTCCAGTGTTTCGCCCGGGGCGCGCCAACTTGCCCATTTCATCGCCGATGCTTCCAAGTTTCGCCGAAAATGCGCGAAACAAATTGAAGACGGTTCAAATTTCGCAAAGTGGAAAAAGGAACAAGTGACTTTTTCTTTCACGCTGTCGAAAATTCTTCTCGCCCGATTCAAGCAACCGTTGATTTTCGTCGAAATTTGATCGAATCCTGTTGCAACAATAATACTACGATCGTAAGAATTTGTGAAATTTCATTATCGCTCGCGCGATATATCCTTGAATTGGAAAACGTTGCTACACGGCAAATCTTCCGTAAATTGCACGCCGGCGAAACTGAACGTGCGGGCGAAAAATGCCAGGAATTCGGCTCGTTCACTCCTCGGTGAACCGGATCATCTGAAACTAATGCAGCTGCTCGAACACGTGTTCTGAGAGCGGGCGTAGAATGACCGTAGTAAAGGTAAACTGCAATATTGAGCGAGTTATTCCACTACTGGATATTCACTGGATAGGGTACAACGTCCAGTGGGTCGATGCAACGAGCATATACGACGTTATGTGCATCGATGAGGCATACGTTACATGCATGCATTTACGGTTTATAAAGAGAGGGCCGGCTGTGCCGCACACCGTTCTGCTGGTTCCTATTAAATATCGTTCATGTTTTTGTGCCTTCTCAATTTTATCCGAGTATCCGTAGCGCAGAAATTGTTGCAAATCCATTGTAACGTCGTTTTTCCCTTTCTGTTTCATAAATTTATACTGGAAGGGTGTTTCTTGAATTTTTTAAAAATTACAGCTAATTTTCGTAACAGTTCTCTCGATCGAGCATCGATTTCTTCGCGCGCTTTTATGGAATTAATGGGAAGGGAACAAACTGGCTCGGTCTGTGACCGACGCAGAGGAATGGCGGTCAGCTGCAGCCTAGGTTATCGAACGTTTTTTTGGCCAAATTACTTATTTACCGATGACTAATAGCGAGCATTCCTCGGCCGAGGAAGTAACGCCAAGTCGTGCCTCCATCATGGTCAACCGAGCCCCTGTTCGATCTCTCCAACAAATCCCTCTTCGTTCGTTTCCATTTGTTTGCAACATTCCTGCCGACAATTCGTCACGCGAAAAATGTCCACGTTCCGACCAACGTGCGTTCCGGAATTAACAAATATTTCGAGCACCTCTCGAATCTGTACGATCGATACACGGACGGGATGCTTCGAAAAATTTAAGGAACGATCTTTCAAAGTTGGAAGAAGGAAATATCGCTGTATTTATTCTGCCGGATTGATTTCTCAATCCCCGACGACACTTTGTCTCACAAGAAAAAGAAGTTGCACGACTTTATAAGAAGATTGGATTTAATTAAAATTTACACAATGGAAATTTAAAGAGGATTTCATGCGCGAACTTTCACGTACAGAATTTGAGGAATATTTCGCAGCTACAATGTTCAAGAATAAGTTAATTGGCAGGCGGACATCTTCCTTTCATCTTCTCCTTGAGATTTAAATTTTTCAGACGCCTGTAATGTATGCAAATTTTTATGAACTTCGCATGCACTTTGAGACGTGCGCGTGTAAATTATTTATTCTTTAATAAGTAAAAAAAAAAAAAAAAAAAAAATACACGCTACATAAATTTATTCATCGGAACTAATTTGAACAAACAAATTCATGGATGAGATATTAATGCAATGAAGATATTACACGGAGCAAATTACACTTTCACATATTTCTGTGAACAGATTCAATGTTTAATTTACAATTTATCCTAAATTTCGCGTAAGATAGATCCTTTAGTAATCACTCTCTCTCTCTTTCTTTCTCTCTCCAAATTTCACATCTCACATGTGTTATATCAAGATGTTCGCTCCACCGGATGGAGGAGCGCATGCACAAGGTTGTTCCTCGAAATTCCTAGTTCTGCTGCTTCGGTTTAATGACTAGCCTAGTTAGCCTAGCGCTGCGAGTAATAATGCTGTTCGGCAATAACCATAACCGATGGAAGCGTTCGTGTCGTGTTGCGGATCCGCGCAGTTAAATTCTTTCCCATCTTTGCACGCTCAAGTTGCACGCGTTTCTTGTTACCAATTAATCTAAACTTCGGTTAAACACGAATCCACCAAGGTGGCAAAAAAAAAAAAAAAAACACGCTACATAAATTTATTCATCGGAACTAATTTGAACAAACAAATTCATGGATGAGATATTAATGCAATGAAGATATTACACGGAGCAAATTACACTTTCACATATTTCTGTGAACAGATTCAATGTTTAATTTACAATTTATCCTAAATTTCGCGTAAGATAGATCCTTTAGTAATCACTCTCTCTCTCTTTCTTTCTCTCTCCAAATTTCACATCTCACATGTGTTATATCAAGATGTTCGCTCCACCGGATGGAGGAGCGCATGCACAAGGTTGTTCCTCGAAATTCCTAGTTCTGCTGCTTCGGTTTAATGACTAGCCTAGTTAGCCTAGCGCTGCGAGTAATAATGCTGTTCGGCAATAACCATAACCGATGGAAGCGTTCGTGTCGTGTTGCGGATCCGCGCAGTTAAATTCTTTCCCATCTTTGCACGCTCAAGTTGCACGCGTTTCTTGTTACCAATTAATCTAAACTTCGGTTAAACACGAATCCACCAAGGTGGCAAATACACGTTCGGGACGAGTGGTGCACACTTATAACTGTTTGCCACAATTAGCAAACTTTACCGTAAAATTTCAACTAATAACAAGGATATCCCGTTTCGGGATATTAAATTTCCTTACGCTTATCTTTCAAAATCTTGATCCATCTTGGCCTTCGTATATATACGACTACTTCGTTTCCTGTGTTCGCGCAACGCGTAAACACGAGCGGGAAATCCGAGACGATTCAAGCCTTGAACCATATGTTTGCACGTGCTCCTCTTCCGCCTCTATCGTGCCCTCGAGCTATCTCGAATCCTTCGAGATCGTGTTATATCTAGATGTATATATATTTTCGCTGTTAAGAAACGACTTTGTACAATAATTTATCCTCGAGCTCGTTCGATCGAGATGCGGGAAACGCAATTTCCAATTTCCATGCACGGTGAATGAGTGAAAAGATCAGGAGAATCGAAGAGAAATTAATTAGGGTAATTCTTTCAGGGAATAATTTCAAAATAATTTCACGCATCGATCTTGAATTAAATAAGAAATACGTACAATTACGTGAATTCTTGAATGATCTCCGTAATATCTTTGTCCCCTTTCAAGTTATTCTCAAGTTATTCTTCATCATTCCCAATTTCGATCAAATAAATTCCCTCTCCAAAGATATCCCCTCCGACGATCCGTGTTGTCTTGCAGTGTAAACGACGGGGAAGGAAATTGCAGCAGGCTCGAAATTATCGAGTTATATCGACAAATTAGATAGTTCGTAACCACCGCTTAAGCTCCCGCTTAAGCTTCCGCCCCATTACAAACTCCGATGCATTTTGCCCCCGTGCGTGCATCGCTGCGAATCTACTTTACGCAAAGTCGTGTGTACAGTCCAATTAAAAGTTGTTGGAGATAACTTGGTGAATAAACTTTCCAATCCCCTCGGATGACAAGCGCGGTTTTTTCCCATGAATTTCGTCGCTGCTGAAAGATACTGTCCACGTTGAAATGATATCAAAGTATCAAACTTTGGATAATTACTTACTATCGTGGAGATGGAGTTACGATAATTATACTTTATCCTCGTAGAAGCATAAAGAGATAGATTTAATTCATCGTGGAATACGTATCCATTGTAATTCTTTAGGCACGAAACGTGATGATTAATCGATGATTTGTGTGTCTTTCTTTTCATTCACAAATGAGAAGATGATGACTTTTTTTTAACCAGTATCGTATTTAATATTGCGGGGGCAGGATAGGAATTAATTTATCGCGATATTCTTTTCGTGTATATATTGGATATGAATGTGGATGTAACTGAAAAAAAAAAAAGGAAAACAAGAGATAAAAGTCTGTTTTACGGAAGGATAACTAAATTTGTCGAACCTTTGTACGTTCGTAAATCCCGGAAGAAATGTCTGATATGAAAAAGTTCTGAATTCATTCAGAAGAATAAATATTTTTGCTGGATTCGTGGATTTAAACGAATATCTGTCGGGAGGTTGGCCCGCGAATCCATTGTTGTTTTATTGCAATGAGTATTTACACTGTAATCGAGCTGTATTTTCAAACTTCTTGTATAAATATAGCGTCGGGAGTTTTAACCGGCCGCAGTGGAATGGCCGAGCTGTGGTCAGACGCCAGGCAACCGAGCGAATAATTTCACCGCTACTCGAGCCATTTCTGCTTATCCAATCAATCCCACATTTTTATATTATCCACTTGGAACGATTTCTTCTAACGATTTCTTTTTTGTAATTATAATTTCCAATTTTTCTTCATATCTTCAATTCAACATTGATAATTTGTTGAGTCAAATTTAACGAATCATTTATTAACATGTACGACACTTGACACTTTATTTCAAAAATGAAGAAAATAAAGATTTCTCCGAAGAATAGTTCTTTAAATCCGTAATAATAATACGAAAAATTGAAAATTTAGAATTGCTCTGCCTAGTATTCTTTTTTTTTTTTTTTGCTTTCTATATTCGAATGGAATTCTATCTTCGTGAAATGAATTTGAACAATGTCACATAAGTCATTCGAAATTTTCAATCTTCGACAAAGTCCGATATAATTTTCTCGCTGGTTTAATAATTAATTTGTATTCACTAAATGAACGAGTCGAGAGTCAAATGCATTGTAAATCAAATTTGAAAATTGTTGTTGAATAATTAATACGCGTTAATTATTGTTAAAAGTTGAGAATAAAATGGGCGAAATAGTTTCGGCGAATCGTTGTAACGTTTGCGAAAGTTAAACCAGTTCGCGTGCATTTGGCAATTAGATGACTGGGTTCGCGTGCCACGATTTTCGCTTCTCCATTGCAACTACAAAACCCGATAAGTTTTAACAATGTTCAAGTTGCCAGAAGATTTCACCTCAATTGGGAGTTGACGCTTACTTCCAACATGGATTAAAATCCATTTAATCTAAAGAGTTTTACAGACATGCAATTTTAAATTTGAACTTATTGGAATACTTATTTGATGGCTACTTATACGTATCTTTTATCTTATTTGATAGATACTCACATGAATAAATTATGGATGGATACGAGACGAAAGGAATCAAACAAATTTTTGTCCTTTGCAAATCTTCAGTACGAATTTCTTATTTTCTTATAAATTTGTTTTATTTTTTAAAAATTAGAAGGATGATTACGTAACTTCAATTTATAATTTTTGCCGCTGCGCTGAAATTTTAAAAAATAATTTCATTCTCCGAATAATCAAATTATCGATTATATTATAATCAAAATGTGCGATCAAAAACTGGTTTTTGGAATATATTCCAATAGAAAAAAATTCGCTCCATTTCACACGTTAATTAAAATTGAATTGAATTGTCGAGGACGATCTTCTAAATAATAGCTGTTGGATTTTTATTTTTTCCGATTGTCATCCGCGGTGTCGTCATTAAAACGTATTATTTTCCACGGAATCTTCGATAAAGTAATTGGAGTAATTCTATTTTTACCTGTTCTATAGCCATCCATAGTCTTCTTATTCTTATTAAACTGAGTCAGGTTTTATTGACCCTTTGGTGAAGGCAGATCCGTCTAGTCAATGAAATTGTCTTCGTGAATAATCCCCGTTTTCTCTTGTTTCTTTTGACAGTCTTATAAATAGCCTTTCCCCGCCGAGAGTCTTTCTTTATTTTCTTCGTCCATTAATATGCCGTATTGAACGTTCATCGCGGATATATTTTTACATCAAAATGTTTCAACTTGTTGCTACTGCGGCTTTTTCAATTACGTAATTACATTTGCTTGTCTTTTTCTTTTCTTTTTCACTCGATTGATTCTCCATTTTATAAATTTACCGATGTCTAACTTGATCGATTTTAAATTCCAAACTTTTACATCGATTGATCTGAAATTTAAAGTTTGGAAGAAGATCTTAATGGTGAAATCGAAATTAAATATTAAGCTTTCGAAATGGAACTTTTGAGGTGTATCTGAATAAAAAAATATAAAGATTTGATATTGCATGCAATTATATGTAATTACATGATGGCAATGAAACTTTCGTTTTATATTTTTATATACTCTATCTTCTGATTAACATTTTGTATTTTATTAATTAAAAAAAATTACTTCAAATATTCGTGACTTCTAGAATTTTACGTCAACTTTTAAAGGATTCTTCACCAGATATCGGTTCTCTTTATAATTGTACAACAATTAAGATTTGCATTAGTCTCATTCGCATTTTTATAGAAATTTTCAACGATTATTCCAACGAAGTCACCGCTACGATAGAATTATCGTAGATTCGTTAACTGCTCGACCAATAGATAGTTAGGCCAGTTTCCCAGTGGGAATTATTGAAAAATTTAATATGCAAACGAGCAGAGCGAGATGGCACGTTGAATTGCGAAAAATCGATGGGAACGTGAAACGTGGGATCGAAGTTTTTCCTACTTTGTTCCCTCGGTATCCTCGGTTCGAAAAATAGCGAGCGCTCGTCAGGCAGCCGCAATTTCAAGGGAAAATTAAAAATTCCGCATTATTTTGCATAGTTACGAGGCCAACAATCGCCTTCGACAACATAATCTTTATGCATAAGGCGAGAGTCGATTAATACGAGCGCTAAGAATGGAATTATTGTTCAGAATTCTTTGGGGAATTATTAATCCCGCATCTCTATCGAAAGTTTTATATCCAGATGCGACGTCGTAATCGTGATGAGTGAATCGTAAATATCGATCAGGCGCTAGAAATTAAAATTGTTATTGTTTTCCTTCTCAATTGTAGCATTTCTCATTCCTTTCCTTCATTTTTTTATTCTTCAATTTCCAAAGAATTGCAATGTTCAAGTAATTCATTCCGTTATATTGCATTGAATAATAGAAGCCCTCTTTTGTTAAATTTTCATCATTTTATCCATTATATCACAATTTGGTTAAACATAAATCTTCTATAATATATTTACAATAATTAATGGTAATATTATGAAGTAATTATGAAACGATTTGTAAGTACAATTACAATAAAACTTTATTTTTTAAGAAAAGTTCAAGTTTATTGAAAACAAAATTGAAAATTCTATTAATTACTTTTTTTTCTTTTTCTTAAAAATTAGTGAAGCAATGTTTTTCGTTATGAATCGTCAGTTATTTTTCTCTTAACAAGGAAACGAAAACACGGAGTTCTCTCGCTAGAATATCGTACACGATAGAAACGTGCGACATTGATGCACTATGCATTCTAAGTTTTCTATCTATCTCGAGGCATTTTCAAGGAAGAGTTATTCGACACGGTATCATACCTGCACGGAACAATGTTCAACCTCTGGAACACGAAACGGATCGGATTACCAGTGATTGTCAACTTCGAGGAAAGTTGGAGGGAAGTTTTTCCATTGATCGAAACTTTTCCACCACTGGGAGGAGACCTTCCCTTTTGTTCTCTCTTATTTTTGTGGCCGGGCAATGCAGAAGAACTCTGTAATGATGTTTAAAGCCTCTTGAATGGGTCAACTTAACGAGAAGATTCTTGTTGCGCCGTTTCGTAACGCTGAGATATCCTCTTGGGTGAAAAGCGCGAGGCGTAGAAATAGAGAGATAGAATAATTCTTCCCTTCTTTATCCGTGTTTCATTTACAAGGAGCTGGAACAAGCGATAAAAAAAAAAATTATCGCTCGTTGAAATTGTGTCGAAGAACGAGATGCACTCTGTTGCACGACGAGAGAATAATGACGAGAAACGGCGCTTTTAGTACCGTTCGCGTGGTTTACGACACGCTATTGGTATTCTGGATCCCAAGAAATGAAAGTTATTTTCAAGAGAAAGATCGTGGTTTATTACGGCAGATTTTAATGTTGCTGCCTTTTGCATTCGAATGCGGTAAATATCGAAATTTCTGTAGAAATAAGCTGTATTTCGTTGAAATATGAATTATTAAACAACTAGAACTTGTTCGATAAGTTCAAATCATTCATTTTTTAGAAGAATTACATGTAGGATATTTTATTATACTTGGTTTTACGATAAGAGATTTTATTTAAGGATTGTTTAAATATTTAATACAAAAATTTGAATATGTTATGAAGATAATAAAGATATTTTATTTGAATATTTGGTATAATTTTTGACGAATCAATTGATACTTGGAAAAGTATCTGAAGTAAATTAAAAGAATTATATGTACCAAAATTAAGAATAAATATACGTAAGCTCTTCGTGGCTTAGTGGTACAAAACAAGTATTTTAAATGTTGGTGTCCCGGGTTCGATTCTCGGTAGATCTCTTAAAAAAAGAATTTTTCTTTGAAAATGTTTTTATTATTTAGTTCTTTGCACATATTTCTCCATTCATCATCTTAGAATTTTTCATCACTCTTAAAATTTCAAAAATCGAAATTCTCTTTCAACGATAATAGTATTTTTAATTTAATTAAAGTTCTTTATAGTAAAATAAAAAATCACTAAAAGAAAAATGATTTTAAAGAAAATGAGGCTTTCTTTAGAGGAAAATAAAAAAAGTGATACAAGAAAATATATTAGAGGGAAATAAATTTAAAAATAATATTAGAAAAACGAAAGGAAGCAAAAAGAAATTAAAAAAAGGGAAAAGATGAGAATAAGTTGAAAATATTCTATAAAAAAAGAAGATTAAAAAAGACACTTTAAAGAAAGAAAAGAAAGGAAAATAGATGTTAAAATGAAAATAATTATATCATCATAGATTTTCGGATACACATAGTAGTTATTATTCGTAAAAATTTATCATGTTTGCAAAATGATTTTCGTGAAACATACACAATTTTCTCGTGTCGCATTAAAAAATGATGTCGAATGGTTGATAGTGTAATAAAAAAAAAAAAAAATATTAAGAGCGTAATTCTAATAATTGGCAATTAGAAAATCTGTGATTCAATAACGATCACTTCGTTTTTCTATCGATGACTTTAATAAAACTCGTTCAACTAATGATCGATAAACCCTTCGCTTGTTCAATTTTCTGTCGAAATAGATTGTATATTACTCTATGAGGAATTTAAAAAGAAACTTAAATTCATCTTATATACTTAAAAAATCATTCAGTTATACGAAGAGTGTTATTGCAAAAATTGAAAATTTTGTTGAATAAGAGAAAACAAAATTAAAATATTTTTTGATAAATAATTATTTAAATTGTTTCAGTAATGAAAAAATTAATAATAATGGTCACTCGAATTGAATAATACAATTATAAAATTCAATATTTGTTTCCAATCAATATACGCTTTTATCTTTTATTTCTTCATATTCTGAATATCACAATGCATGCTTGATGAGTAAATATCGCAATATAAATTCGTTTCTATTTATTAGTAATACACGATCATACGTTGTGTTTAATCAATTTCTATTAAATTGACATCTTCCTTAATTTATCTCCGTTTATCATGATGTTCTTTTAAGAACATGAAATGCGTGCACCTAAATACACAGGCCACATTTTTCCTTTTTCTTTTCCATTCATTTTTTTCTTCCCCTTTTTTTCTTTAGATTGCTCTCGGCTTCCTCTCTCATTTATTTCGTGCACACCTCTTCAGCCGGGCGAATGGACTCGAACAAACAGAGTCGTTGAACCAACGTTAAATATTCCACGCTTGCTTCCAAACTGAGCGCATAATTTTTCGACAAATCGCGATTCCATGCGCGAAAAATAAATGAGACATCAGTATACAATCAGTGTAAACAAAAATATAATAATATCCAGTGCATATCTTTTAAAATCATTTCTTCGACACAATCATCGAATAAATAGTAAAAATATCAATAATCACTTTTGCTGGTTTTAAAGTTTGAACAACGAGGCATGTCTAGTCTTTTCTTTCATTTTTGTGCTTTCTCTCTCTCTGTCTCTCTCTCTCTCTCTCTCTCTTTCTTCCTTTCTTTCTCGTTACTTTTGAACTAGTTTTACAAGCGGTGTTTCGCGAAATTCTGGTCGGATTGAAATTAATTAGCGATAAATTCTCCTGGCGCGACACGCGTCAATGGCTTCCGCTCTCTCGTCGCTTTTCAACCCATCGTATGTTTGACAATGAAAAAACGAATCTCCACACCCCACCGTGATAACTAAATAATCGCGAGCAAACGATCGCATCGATGAATACGAGAATTTTCACACTGGTTATTTGGGGACAGAATTCGTTCATCACTTTCGATTTATCGCTTCGACCGAGTTTCGAAAATTCGATCAACTTTAATACGAGAATTTATGTAACGTGAATTATTTCTTTAATTCTATCGACAGCTATCATCGCGTAATAATTGTATAATCTTGATGACGATTGAATCGTTTCGAATCGATCAAATCTTTCTTTCTCAGAAATTTTTTTGGGAAACGAAAAAAGATTTCTCTTAACGCGTCAAACGTATCGCGAAAATACAAATTCACGATAGAATGATCTTGAAGAATGATATTTATATTTTAATACGAATTTCTGAATTTATCAATTATTTGATTAAATATTTCGTATAATTTTATTTAATTAAACGTAATTGCAATTCTATCAAAAGTTATTCTATCGATATCGTGAAATTATAAAAAAAGATTGCAATATTTATTATCCGATACACTCGTATAAATATCATTCCTTCTTTTCTTTTTTTTTTTTTTACTATTTTACATTTTAATCTCCCTGAGCCATTTCTCTTAAACTTTAATAAATTAGTATCGCGCAGATTTACAGTGAAATGTTTAAGAATGATTTGCACTCGTAAAAAAAAGGATTTTCACGTTATACTTTATTGCCGGTGTTAAATCGTCCGAGCCAAGTAAATTCCGCGATCGACGTCGAGAAGTGGATTAATGAATCACGCGCCAGACATCGGGTATAAATCCCGTTGGAAGGTCGTAAGTGCAGCGGTCGAAATATTCGAAATTTCGCGAGAGGAGATAGCCGGAGAGAGGTGATTTTTGCCCGATAAATTATTTAACGCGAGAGGGTCGTCGATCGATAAATTATTTATCGTGTCGCTTTCTTCGTCCGACTTCCGCGCCCAGATTTGGCTCGATGCCGCGACTTCCGCCATTCCGCGAATGCAATATTTGTAAGCAAACTGCTTACGAATGATGTAATGCGACAATTCTCGAGGAATTTCTCCCCCCTTCCCTGGAAAATACTTTGGAAAATATAGGCTAATTTGGCCTCCAACTTTGCCGAGTTGGGCACGATTCGACGTTGATATTGGATTCGCGAAGTTTATTAATTTGGGGCTTAATTTTTGCCTCAACTTCTTTCTCGAGGCCATCTTTATGTGCGCCGTTAAATCGATCTTTCGAGAGTTAGTATCGTATACGAGAAGAAGAAATGAATCTGATTTGAAAAAGCTATATGATAAAAGGAGGAAGAAATAATTTTTTAGTAATATTTTCTATTATTCGTAAATCAAATAATCCTCTTTTCTGCACGATGTCTGCAAATGTGGAACGCATATAGCTTTGAAAACATTTTATATTTGAAAATACATACGTATATTAGATACGTACCTTTGATCATCAAATAAATTCCAGCACGAAGCCTCTTAACATTTACTTTTTTTAATCACAAGAAATATTTATCAGCAGAACGTTCTAATACCATATTTTCCTCTGCTAAATATATAATTCTTAATTCAATTTCTCGTCTTCCAATAAGATATTTATGAATGACGGCGAAATCAAATACCGCCTTCACATTATGGAGAGTAGAATATTTCACATATTTTACAAGAGTTTCATCTCGGTGTAGCGTTTCCAATTGATTCGTTCTCGAGTTTCCTTGCCTTCGTTTCATTCGTTTTCTCTTTTTCTCCGATAGCTTCGAGATTCGAGCAAAAATACTCGACATTCGATGCGAATTTCGATACACAACTACGATCTTCCGTGCTTCGCTTCGTGCAATTTTTAAACAATTTACTATGCCTCTTCGTTCACTCGATTTCGAAAGTATAGAGAATATATTCTCTCTCTTTCGAGAAACATTTGTTCTTGTAATTGCTGTAATTTTCGCGAAGAGAAGATTCTGTGTAAATTAAGGGTTGGAATTTATGCTTTCTTAAGGAACGTGTAGATTTGTGTCTTGTCACGACACAAAGTGTAAGACGAACTTTGTGTTGATGAAAGAAATAGAACGTATTTTCTAGGCCAGTGATGCGTGTCTCTTTTCGTTCGACACTGAAACCTTGATTCAGAATTAGAACGAGATCTTCAATCGTTCGTTCCTCTAATTCGTAAAAAAAGAAAAATAATCTTCGAAACTGTAGAATACAATTTTTCAATCGAATTTATATAGAGCACGTTTTTAATTATCATCTTGATTTTTACAAAGTAAATAGAATCACCTCGACCTGTATAATTTATTCGCTCGTTACTCACGATCCTAAACTAGTAACTGGTAATACAAAATTCGATAACTCCACTAATCATAATAAACTGACCAGACTAATCTCTAACCGCATCCTCATTAGTCCGAACTATAAACAGCGCTAATCCTCATCGTTGAATTCAAACAGATCATGTTCACGTAAATATATTACCTCGAATCCACGTTAATTTTCGTTCAAATAACAATCATTCACAATTAATCATTGTGGAAAATTATCGTACTCGTTAAACTTATAGAAAAAGAATCTTTTTTAATCTTTCCTCCTTTCCCCCCTCCATCACTCCGTATATTGTACTTCACAATTCCTTCTCTTCGAATCCTTCAACCGTTCTTTTTACAAAAATATTAAATATCCTTAACGAACAAATTTCCAACACCAAATTATAATAATTCTCAACTGCGAAATCAAAATTTATGCGCATAGCATAGAAAATACGTTAAATCGAAGATTGCACATCGAAAGTCTCGTTCCAAACGCATTATCATCCGATCATCTCCATTATCTTAAACGTGCATCGACCGCGCAACAGCCCATTTAGATAACACGCGATCGTGCGAATCGCGTCCGCTTCAAGGGCTGTTTGGAAGTTAGCAGTGTGTCGTGGGTACGTGCATCGGGCGTACGTGTCGAATAACATATTGAGGTCCGGCATGGAGTCGCAACTTGAAACTGATTTATAACAGCGGTTCACCGACCCGTCACGATTTCGTACTTGCCGCGAAACAAACGCCCCTCCCTCGCCGGCTACGTGACTTTCCCGCGCCAACAACTATGCGAAACTTCCGGCCCTGGGCCGAATCGCTCGGATACTTTCCATACTTTCCACTCCATTTTTAACATTCACCGATGCATTCCTGAGGTACGGAGGTATCCACCAGAGAGACTCGGCACGTGCTGTTGTGCGAATCGTGCATTCCACTTGCTTTCCAAGTCTTTCAGATCGATGGCACATATATCATATCGTAATTTCCGGGATGAGACGAGATGAGACTTTTTATTCACATTTATTCGCAGCTCTCGTTACCCGTTACTCGTGAATATTTTTGAAAAATATTAATTATTAATAATCGTAATTATCCATGTACGATTATTTTGCACATTGTTTTTTTTTTTTTCGATTAAGAAAGTATATTTTGATAATTGTTGTGTTTATAATCGTAGATGTAAAAGTCGTTTTACATTGAAATTGATCAAGAGCAATAATTTTTTACTCGTTAATTAATAATAGCAGGAATACTTTTAATACTTTAATTTGTACTTTGTATTATTCATTTCGATCCTCTCGAAGTCCATTGTTCTTCTTACTTTCCCTTCCTCTTTGTCACCCAAATTAGAGTTGGAGCCTTAATGCGTTGAACAGAAAAAGAAAGAGCAAAGACTTTGCAACACGTATAAATGCTCAGAGAAATAATAAGTCCAATTTTAAAATTGTTCTCCTGTAAAATTGAAAAAGAAAAAAGAAGTGTGACTTATCAAGTCTCTCCTTTTTCAATCTTCGTATTTCAACGACTAACGTTGGAAGAGAGTTGCCAAAGAGATTGCCACGAGGCAGTGGAACGGGCCAGTATTCGGTCGGACGGATATAACCAGCCGTCTCGAATATTTCACAAGTCAATCCTACAAATCCAGCTCGTTGGAGAAACCAGAAACGGAACAAAGATCGAAATTAATTATTTCGAGAGCAAATCTCATCTCTCTCTCTCTCTCTCTCTCTCTATACCCTTTGTTTCTCCCCCATCTTTGTTGTCTCGCGGACAAAAGGCTCGTCTCTTCCCTCTTTCTTTTTTCCCCCTCCGTTTTCTTCAACGGGAGAAAATATTCCAAGGTGAGAACAGGCAACACCGTCGAGATTCGCTTGAATCTTCTTTGGCACGCTCTCGGTCGAGTGTCAGGAGAATAGACACGGGAGGAGAGAAAGTGGTGGTAGTGGATGGAAAAAAGGAAAAGCGGAGGGATCGGTGGAGGAAAATGGGTCGTGGAATGGATTCGTTATTTTCTTCCAACAGGCTCGAAAATAAGTGTCTCGCGGATTATAAAACTTAGCCGCACGTTCGACGAAACACAGAAAAATTTCTATAAATCGACGAGAATTTCATCGCGTGGAAACAGGAGAGTGGACGAAATTAGGAACATATTTTCTTGGTAAGAATAAATAAAGGGAAATTAATATTTCGAATTACCGAATGGTCAAAACACTTTTAAAATAAATTAGGAAGATTTAAAAAAAAAAAAAACGAAAGAGATATCATCGTTGGACGATGCCATCCCCGCGCTCTTCTCCACTTTTTTCATTCGAGACTCTTACCAGACGGCGCAACACGAAATTTCAATTAGAGCCGGCCATTAATCACCGGCCCTCTCTTTCTGAAATAATGCTGGAGAAACGTCCAAAATCTCGCGTCATCAGAATTTCCTCGTTCTTGCCAGACCCCGCGGGACCCCGCGATTATCTCGAGTGAAATAAGGAGTCCATTAAGGGATGAGCAAGGACAATGACTGTCACTCGCGAGACAAACGACGACAAGACCTTGTTTCGCGACCTTCCCTCTCTTCTTCCCGAGAAGACTCCGTGGAATGCGAAGAGGAACACGCCATTGTCGTTGAAACGTGGCCTTCGTTGTGACCACAGCTAAGAAACCTCGTTTCCATATTGATTGCCGTCTGTTTATCGGATGATGATTGTTAAGTAGCTATTTAGACTGTGATAAATCGATCTTTCTCTCTCTCTTTCTCTCTCTCTCTCTCTCTAGTTTATGAAAAAATAATCGAGGTATATATATTTCAAGGAATTAATGTTAACATGAGAGAGAAGAAAAGGAGGAGAACGTGTTAGTCAAATTTGAAAAGAAGAGGGTTTTCGTTCTTCCATTCTTAGATTTTAGATTATCGAATTCTTCAAATTATCAATTCCTTTAATTATTGCTGGAAACCTGGAAGAAAATCGAATTAATTAATTAGAGACAATTAAATATATATTTACCATTAAAATGCCTCGATTTCTCTCGGGAAGCTGCTCGTTCGAGAACGAAATTCGTCCAAGTTCACTTCAACTCCCAGTTCGATTTAACTCTAAATTCCTTACTTCGAAAGGAACGTGATCCTTGACCCATTTCGCACGAAACCTTTTTCTGAGAGCCCTTCTGAAAAAAAGAAAAAAAAAAAAAAAGATTCGACCAAAGTTTCTCTTTCTCGAACTCGATCCTCGCCTTCTCCCTTTTTAAAATAGGTCGAAAAATTGGCGCGACATCTGGACGAGACTTGGACAATTCTAGTATTGTGACAATCGTTTCACCATATCGATTCTCGTTATGAAATTTTCCAACTACCCTCCTCGCCCATAAGGCTCCTTGGAGAATTCCGGCAAGATTCGCCGGATTAAGGATACGAGGCTATGATGACCTCAGCAATGTGGAATTACGTCATAAACTGGGATCTTGTGCATGCCACGTTCCTCTCCTCTGACCAACAGTCCCTAATCCCTTAGCCGCTGTATGCTGACTTTCAGGAATCTCCGGATAATTCTCGGGGGATAGAAATTACGCGGTTTTTTTCTTCCAACACAAATGGCACGCGTTATTGGAAAAGATAATAATCCAGTGGCATAGAAAGGATATAAATTTCCCAGGTCGATTTGACGATTTCATTTCCTTTTCGCTTTTTATGCCGTAAGAATTTATAGAATTTTGATAAGAGGATTTGGCCAAAAGGAAGGAAGCGAGGATGGAAAGGTGTTGACGACCGGATGGAATTCTATAATTATTAATTAAATAATTATTAATTTAATTTATTTTTTGTTAAAAAAAAAAAAAGAATTGGAAGCAGAAGAGGTCGAAAGGAAACGGTGACTTTAAGAAGAAACGATTTTGCTTTAAAGTCGCGTGGCAAAAGTAATTATTTCGATGAAATCCTCTCGTGGAATCTAGTAATTATGCGAAAGTGTGTCAACTTTTAAGTAAATTGAGAATAAAAATTCAATTAAAAGAAAATATATGTATATGAAGTTTGTTTTAGTCTTAATTTTATCTTAACGAAAGTTTTAATGAAGATGAATACATATTTTTCAGTTATTAATCTTGATACTGATAACTTCAAGTAAAATAGATAAGCAACGACAAAATAACAAGTAATTGAAATAATAATTAATGTCTCGTGAAGAAAGTTAGCTTGTCAGCCACGCAATAATTTTACCAATTATTTAATTATTTCTCTATCTTCTATTCCTTCTCATCCTCTTCGTATTATGACTCATGATAAATGGCCTCACCCGTGTTCTCAGCAATGGACAATTTTTAACGTACGATCGAACGAAAGAATAAACTACGTTCCACATTCCTTTTTCCCCTGTTAAAAACAAAGAAGAAAAACACTCGAGAAAAGAGTGGCGGACAAAAATTGTAGAAAATATAATTCCATTTCTTTTCCAATGGATATACATTGTCTGCAAGAAAAGGAAGAAAAAGAAAGGAAAACGTCTGAGAACGTGCGTGGACTAAACGATGAAATAATTTAACGACACTTGGGGAAATTCGCGGAGCCAAGCCAGGTTATCGTCGCAACTATAAAACTTCCATACATTGCCGAGCCAATTTTCCATGTTTCGTTTCAGTTGCATGCCAACTCCTCCTATGGCCAATCCTCCTGTCGCTCTTATACCCAAAAAGAAACACGTAAACGTTCACGTAAACGACTGAAAGGCTCACGCAAGTTCCATCCCTTCGATATCCGACTTCATCAACCTTTCATACCCTTCATTATTAAAATTCACGTGGATCTTCTTCTACACCATCCTCCTCCTCTCTTCGCTTCCTGGATTTTCACTTTCTTAACACCAATAACGAATATTTGGGCATCGTCATTCCTTATCGTCCGTGAAAAGGAATCATCATCGATCCAACGAATAGAAAAGCCCCTCTTCTTTGACGAAAACGGTTCTCTCAAAGCGCATGCTGGCGAAACTTCAATCCACCGTCGTTTGAAATCTTTCGAATCGCAACAGCGTCCAAGGGATCCGCGCTAATAAAGCTACTTGCCGATCTTTAACGCTGGTATCGGGTAAACGGTGGTAAAAATTTCACGGAGCGGGGGAAAGAAGCCATCTTTGACCCATAAAAGGGGGAATAAACATTGAACGGGCTTGAAAGTCCCCTCGAGATGAAAGGAGAAAAGCTTTGGGATCTTGGAGAGCGTGGAGGAGTTTAAACTTTCTCCTATATACCGTATTTTCATCACGAGTCCGAAAGGAAGTTGTTGAAAAGGCGTTGGAGTGACATTTCTCCACGCGTAACGCGTGCACCCGTAAAGGAGCTGATCCCATTTCGAGGATGAGTTCTCGTTAATGCAGTTTGTGCAGAGTGAAAGAGAGAGGGGGGGGAGAGGGGGATAAGAGGAACTGATTGGTACCTCGGTAATCGTTCGTGCCGCGAATCTCTGCCGAATGCCGGGGAAAATCACGGGACTAACGAGATTCAGCCTCGAATAGGACCCTCTGTATCTTCGATCCCGATGATTTTCCGGCCATCGTTACGCGTCTGATTGAAAATACGTCAGGCAATCGCGATTTCAACGCGAGAACGTTTCTGATTGGAGTGTGAGGAGCCAGGAATCGTGATTCGAATCGTGAGCACGGGGATAACCGAGGGACGTCATCAAAATTGGATTCATTTTCTTTAACTTATTACGTTTTTTTTTCTTTTAAGCTTATTTCCCCCCTTTTTTTCGATTAATATTCGTGTAAATTTGAAAAAGGTACAGGTGTAATTATTTTCTTTTTTTTTTATATTTAGGAAATAAATTTTGTGAGCGAACATACGTCAAAATTTATACGCCAAATTCGTAAAATTGAAAAATAAATTTCGATCGATCCGAGGGGGATTGGTAAAGTTAAATACGATGATGACGACGATGATTATGCAAATAACAAACAATTTGCTAGCAAAATACGTGATAATTATTCGATATTTGCATAAACTTTAAATGATTTCGAAACATGACATGCGGATTTATATTTGTAAATTGTATTGCTTCGTGATCATTTTATTCGCGAAGCTGTCAAAATTTAACCAATTTCGGATACGTAAATACATTGTAATCTCTTTACATTACTCGAATATTAAAGATCGAATTAATAATTTTTCATATTATCCGCTAAAAATATTATTATTGTATCGATATAATTTCAAAGCGAAAAGTAAAAGAATTCGAAAGTAATTCGAAAAACTAAAAAGTTTAATCCCTTTCTTCGCACAATGCACAATATCACTTAACAATTCCACATATTCCAAGAAACTTCCTACTCGAATTTCCCACGTATCGTGTGTGAATAACAAGCTAACGACGAAACAATCGCGCGCCAACCCTCTCCCTCTTTAAACTCTCCTCCATTGTTTTTCTTTTCACCCTGCTTGCGAACTCGAGGAAGTCACGGTGTCCATTCCTCGTCCGGAAAGCTTCGTTCACACCTGTACACGTGTAACCAAGCGGAACGGGGAAGATGAAAACTTTTCAACGAAGTCGAGAGGACGAGGACGTGAAACGACGGCTAAATTAGAGGGTAAAAAAAGAAGAAAAAAGTTAGAAAATTACAAGTTAAATTAACGTATCCAAGTCGTGAGAGGAGAAGAGGGAGAGAGAGACAGAGAGAGAGAGAGAGAGAGAGAAAAGGAAGAAGAGGTGGAAAGAAGTGCGGATGCAACGAGGATCCACGGAATAATTATTTAAAAAGTCTGAAACACGGTTAAGTGACGCGATTACGCTTCAAAGCGAAACCGGGGAGCGAATCCGTCTCCGTTCGTAGCTACCTGCTCACTGAAACCGTCTTTATTCCTTATGTTATGAAAATTTACGAGCTTCTGTGTATATATATATACACACGTTTGTCGTTTGCCTCGTCGCGCGTTGAAAGGAAAGAAAGTAAACAAATCGAGCGTCTGTATTGTATGGAAATCGAGTTAAGAGGATTAAATATTAACTCGGAGAAATGTCAACATAGCGTAGCGCGATGGAAATATTCGTGCTATACGATTGTTTAAATTTATTATATTAATTCTTTAATGAATACTGAATCGTGTAAATAAATTTTTAACAATTTTAAAATTGCTTATTTATTATTTCGTTCTATATATTTATATTGTGTTATTTTTTTTTCCTTTTTGTTGGAATTGAATATAATTTTTGCAATTTTGCGTTCTATGATTATTTTCAATATCATAAGAGGATCGGTTGTAAATTGATAAAGAGTTTCATATAAGCGGTGGTTACGGTAACCGGAAGCTAGTAGTCACGAGCTGGTTCAATTACCACGGTTGCACTTCTCTCCATTTGATCGTTAAAATCGAAGGAGATCTTGTACCGATGAATTCCCCGGAGATGTAATGAAATACGTATAAGATATACGTATCTCGTTATCACGATTTTATTTATAGTTGCAAGATCGATCGATTAATTTTTTAAAAAATAGAAAAAGGAAATAATTAATTAAATTATTATATTCTGTAAGGCAAAACTTAAATCCTATTTATCCATATAAATCGTTATAGTAATCTTTTTTCAAAATATTATTTCACGAAACACTGTAATTTATACATTTTTGTTATACAAACAAATTAAAATGGTTAATTGGAGATTAATAAAATAACAATTTCCGGGATAAAAAGTTAAAGTATCAAGTTTTCATATTATAAAAGAATTGAAGATAGATCTTCGAGGATTCCACCATGATTTCGACAAACATTCGAGAAAAGAAAAGTAGCTGCCTACTCGATCGATTTTTACTCATACGCCGCGCGAAAGTAATCTAACTTTAGATAATAATTCGACGAGCTGCCGTGTCCATTCTGGCGCGGTTTTCACGCTATGCACTCGAAACCGATTTCTCCCGGAGAACGGTCGAGATCGAAAGTGGGCCGATCGCACGACAACCTTGATGCTGGAGGATTCCTTTTTCTTTTCGCGTGCCATTAACTTTCTAAAAAGGTTAAACGATCTTGTGCTGAGATACCCCTATCCGCGATACCCGATTGTCTGAAACCGAATCTTTCTTCGAAGATCGAATTGCTTAGGATCCATTGTCAATTTTCTTCTCTTTCGAATTGCTCTCATGATTGCTCCTACTTTTATTCCCTGTTGGAGGACTAAGAGTATTTGCGTATAATATACACGCTGTGTTTTTTTTTTTAGAAATTTTTGGATGATGAATTTTGATTGGTGCGCATTCGAAGCTCAAAGTTGAAATAGAATTATAACGCGTTAATTTCTAATCGAATTCTGAATTCCATGGAAAAGCTTGATACGTCGTTTCCGCTTTTTTCGTGTCTAGAAAATCTGATATGTCATGTGTCTTGTCAAAATTGAGATATATTCTTTTCCATATGGATAAGATCTGGATAATTCACAGATCATGATATCTGTTTATTATTGTGGTAAAGAAAGAAAATAATAAAAAAGAAATAGCTATCAAATACTGATAAAGTTGAAAAACAATCTATCAAAGACTCACACACGATACTTCGGTTCTCCTCTTATTATCTATTATACGAAGCATTTTAAAGCGATTAGAATAGAATTTTTCTCACACTCGAGGATTCTTAAAAGGTTCAATGGATCAAAAAAAAAAAAAAAAAAAGGAATGAAAGTCGAAAGCTGCCACTACAACACCACCAATATCATCGAAAGAGAGAGATGCTGATTATCGTGACGACACACGTCTGCGATCTCGAGCGATCGCAAGTTTCGATTCGCCCCCTCTGTAACGCCTCTTCTCTGAGAGTAGCTTTGCAGGTGGAGGAGAAGTTATTCGTGCGCCTCTCGATCTTGTGTACAGAGGAATTTCTCGTCTAACGAGTGCACCTCCGGTCCTTTCGAGGGAGGATCTTTTACCCCGGGATCACGGTGAAACAGCTGTAATGGATGTTTGTACAGACGGGCACCGCGTTTTGTGGAAGATCCCGGGGAAGATTGATCGGGTAAAGATCAAACGATTCGCAGTGATGGATCTCGTTGGCTGGAATCGACCAGCCAGCAAACGGCAGAGACAATTAATGGGGAAGTACCTCGGGTGGGAGAGATACGGGAGCAATTGGCGAAGTTTGAATCATTCCAGAATCGGAATTACCGAACGTGGATTTGGACCATCGATGGTGTGCCTGTAACAAAACCAACTGATTTCTGAATATATATCTTTCCATACGGAGATTTGTAACACGTTTAATTTAAGATTAAATGTAAAATTAGAAAATAGTTTGTGAAATAATGAATCTGTTATCGATCGATCAAATAACTTATATATCGAGAAAGTTTTTATAAATTTTTAATAATAATAAGTTAATTTTTAACAAAGTCAAAAGAAGGAGAGAAAGTTCGAGTGAGATTGGGAAATAATCTTTGCTTGTAAGATTAATAAATCGAAGCGATCTTACGATAATAAAAAGCACCTACGAAACACCTATAAAGAAACTCTATTTTTCTCTTATTTCATTAACTCGAATGAATCGTCCTTTGATTACGAATTATACAGAATAAATCTGTATATCGAAATTACTACGTAAAATTTCTCAACACGATGAACGTTACTACCAGATAGAGATGCGTCGTATGTCGGTGTCCCGCAATTTCATTTACCCTACTAATTTAGATGCGTGGTTAATGAAGATACATGATTGCAGCTCGCGTGCAAAGTGAACTTACATCATCAGTATCGAGCCGTCTCGATAAAGGATCCTCGAAATTGCCATAACGGCGGTCGCGTCACGATATCGAATATTTCTCCCTTAATTATAATCATCCTAGCAGATATTCAATGATCTTCCTACGCTCTTCGCGCCCCGTTTCTCCTCGCAGATTTCTCGAATTCTTTGGAATAAACGGAAAAGTCTATTTATGGAGGGGAGAGAAAAAAAAAATGTAACGTCGAAACTTAATTTTTTTTTCTTCTCCCCGTCATCCTCGTTGATGTCGACGGCATCTCTGTGCGTCAGCACGAACGCGTTGGATGGCGAATAATTAGCGCGGCTCTCGCGGTGAATAAATTAGCATGCATCAATTTAAAATCCGGCGTCGAGATGCATCAACGTCCCTGCATCCTTTATCCCACTGTTTATCCAAAGCTGCGGGAATATTTTCTTACATAGGGATGCGATTAAACGTGTAATCCTTGGAAAATAAAAATTAAAGAGGCGTTGTATACAAATTGTATACAAAGTTAAATTTCAATATTTTCAAAACGACTCGTATTAAATATCTTCCTTAATCTTTCTTAATAATAATCTAATCTTATTATTTATCGATCCACGAATCTAGCCAATCTCTTTTCGAAACATTCTTAAAAAGATTTTCGTTCCGTGACGGCTAAGAGAAATAATGCTTTTAAAAAAAAATTCACTTCATTAATAGCATCCACTGAATCATTCAAATAGAACAAAACGAGAAATCAAGATTAAGATTGGTATACGCTATCAAATAATTTCCTAATCGACGTCTGCGCTTGAACTCATCGTTTCTAATCCATGAATTCGAGCGCAACGAAACTTTTCGAAGATTCTTCGCGTTGAAAACTCGAAAGGATCGGTTGAAAAACTGTGGGGAGGGGGAAGTGGAGGCGAAGGAAGGAGGAGGGCGCGATGCGACTCTTTCGAGGCGTGCACTCAATTTTCCGAGGCTTAACCGGTCCGATGTTTCTTCCCTTTGCCCCGATCGAGACGCAAAGAATGTTCCCGTTCTCTTTCGTTTAGTCCGCGCCAAGACGGATTTCCTCGAGGAGAGATGCTCTCCTCTCTTTCTCTCTCGTGCGAGAAACAGAAGGACAGGGATGGGGGTAATGCTCTGATTCGTTTTATCCCCTCCTCCCATCGATTATGGTCGTATTTTCCGGAGATTAGTCTTCTTGGAACGAGCTCGCCTCGTTTTTTTCATCCCCCTTTTGACAGCCCTCTTTTATTTAAAATCCATTTCCTTTCTCACGAAGCCTTTTAAACCTCTTCGACCAACGTTCGTTCAATGCTATTAGAAAATACTTTTCTCATCTCTGAAGGAATCTGTTCCATCATATTTTAAAGTACAATTTTCCTTTTTTTCTTTTCGAAAGAAATGCTAAACAAACGAATCGAACCTGATCAATCGATTTTATTTCGTCGCTTCGATTCGACGCTGACTTCATCGCGCTGACTTTTTTCCGCCTGTATATAAACACTGTTTCGTAATATATATATATGGTAGAGCCGCGTATAAAAGGAATTCGTGAATAGAAGGTTTCGCAAATGCGGAATATTTTAGTCGGAGTCAAGTTCGTGACGGAAGTTCACCGTGCGGTTTGAATGTAAAATTCAGCGAATTTTCTTGCGGCTTAACACACGGGAAAAGCACCTCGAATTTTCTCTTCTGACCCATTGTCCGACGTTCCCCGAGTTACGCGAACTAGAAACAATTTGCTGTTGAATTTTAAACTCCGTGTGTAATATACTATCCACTTTTTGTTCCATCGCCCCCCTCGTTAATATTTAAGCGACGAGTGTGGCACGAATACGAATCGTGATTGCGTGTTGACGATCTCGAGACGAGAAGACGCCAGTTTTCGTGCCCCTTCACGCGCAGAATCCGTGTTTAATCCGTTTAATTCGATCGCAAGTTGGATCGTCTTCCTTTCTGCAACTTTTCTTCCGCGTCTTAGAATCATCCATGGCGAGATGGGACACGGATGGGATCGATTAAACCTTGTGAATTGGAATTTAGGAGGTGAAAGTTGTACGACAGAATATATTTGTAAATGGAGTAAAATTTTCCTAAAATTCTCTTGATTCTTCTCGTCGATAATGAGAGCCGTGAAGAAAAGGAGAAGTTGGATGTTTACAAATGAAATTTCTAAATTGGGGAAATTAGTTTAATTAATTTCATCCATCCAGTGCACAGAATTTTATAATTAATATTTTGTTAAGGAAAAATGTATCATTACAATTATATTTCCACGACAAAGTATCCTTTCAGGGGCAAATTTTTCTTAAAATTAGAGGAAAAAAAAAAATAATAAAGAAGCACGCTTTATTATTCAC